CCACCCTGTCATTTCTCTCTTTGTTCTCTTTGTTTTCATACTTGCTTTCTTAGAAAACACAGAGGGAGGCTATCACATGGAATAATTCTGGCCCCAGCTCTCCATCCAAAGTGTCCTATTTGGGTTTTTTCTCCCTCACCCACCCCAAAAAGCTGAGCCACCTACATATGCGCAGTCTGGCACTCTGTCACTGACAACACAAGTAAGGAGAAATGAACCAATGGACGGAAAAGTATAATTTAAGGGGAAATTTGAAAGAAAAGCCTGAAGAGAATGAAAATGGTGTGAAAAAGGGTAGGCTGGAGTTGTACTATTACACAGGGTGAGAGTATTTGAGAGAGAATGTCTGTCAATCTGGAATAAAGACTATGCTAGTAAGAAGAACTGCTGAGATATGAATCTGGAATCTTTTTTGGAGAGAAATACAGTAATCTGCATAAGCTATCTTTTTCTGCTGCTTCCCATTCCTTCTCTGTATGGCTGATGGGGTTTTGTCTATGGAAGACACTGGGGTCAGTGATGCGGTCGTCGTCTTGCCGAGCAGGCGTTCAGCGACATTCCCATGTACTCCTCACTGAGGGCTCTGCTTCTCTCTTGAAGTGCTAATATGTCTACACAAGCTGCCACAGAAAGGACATTAACTTTAGTCTTGTTCTCTATATCAAAGTTGCACTTTAGGATGGTTTTATTTAGAACCTCATTAACTGTGAGTGGATTCCTTGTCTAACAGACTATACCTTAAGATGCCATCTGTGTGAGGAGAGTCGTGCTGCTGGCTCAGTCAAAAGCAACTGGATTGGAATAGCTCCAATGCTGTTACAAAGCAATGAGTTGGCCAACAGCTAATTTAAAAAATGAGAGACAAAAATAGGCATCTTGGTGCACTGTTCTGTGTAAGTTAGAACTGTTGGTGATGGGGCTTTTAGTTTTCTTTACAACGGCAATGTACACTTTGTTCTAGGCAACGCATTTAAGCTTTGGTCCAGTAAAGTACCTAAACATGTGCTCCTCTTTAAGTGTATGAAGAGTTTCATTGACTTAGGGTTTTTTCCCATGCTCTTAAATGTCTCAGCTGGTTTGAGGCCTTTACCATAAGTTTTCACAAGCTCTAAAATCACTCTTGAGATTTTAGTGAAAGCTTTTTTGAATATCCTGCTTTGCAGGAATCTTTCCATTTGCATAAATGTTGTCTAGAACACGTGAACCTAGAGGTCTAAGAATTCCCCCTTGAGTGTTTTTGTTGTCTCAGTAAATTGTGGATGATCCAGTCTGGAGTGCTGATCATGCTACCTTTGGGTTAACACCAGCTATGCTAAGCCTATGTCAACAGGCAGATACAGTACCTTCCTGTTGCGGCACTGTGTAGGTCATGAGATTTGTCACTGTTTGGGGGGTGGGGAATCACATTTTGTGAGGTGAGTATGAAGTTAAGGTAAATCACGTGTTTTCATCCACTCATACTGCTTATGCCACAAAATCAGAGGTGTTTTCATGTAGGTGACTATTTAATTTAGTTTCCACTTTGATACAGCAGCAAAGACTCCGTCCGCCTCGGCCACCGCCTCCAAAGATACAGCGTGCATCTAGGCCCGTGAGTAGTTGGTAGTTTCGTTTCACTGCCACAGCTTAACACTGCCTGAATTACGCTCCTAGTAGCATTACTAAACCTTGGTAGTTTGGATTGTCAAACTTTGCAAAAAAGCAATGTGTGAATTATGCTCCTAAACTCCCTTCTTCTCTGCTGCGGCGCAGCCCTGGGACCTGCATTTATTCTGCTTTTCTTTGACGAGTTCTGCAGCTTTCAGTCAGTTCTGCAGGTAATTGATGCTGCTGGTGCAACGTTTGTTTTTACTTTTGCGGTGATTTCTTAAACAAAAAGTCTTGCCAGGCTGGCATAAGTTTTTAGCCAGTGAGTTTTTGAAGACTTGCACTAAACTCAAATACAAAAGGAAGCAGAAGTCTGAAGAGAAAGTATTTATTCTCTGCAAGTTATGCTTTAAATTAATTTGGGATGCTTAATTTTTCTCCATGGAATAGATGAGTGAATACACATCTAGAAGAAAGTGAAGTTTATATTTGAGCGGTAGAACATTAGTACCACATTATGGATGATGTACATATATACTTTATGTTCCTTTAAATTGCAAGCTGGGACTCTGTGTAATTACATAGTATAAAAAATGTAGGCACAGCATGTTGGCCAGAGGACTTTTCCACAGAAGATCTACACAGAAATTATTCTCAGTGCAATACCTGTACTGTGTGAGGCAGGGATAACTTATTTCAGCAGTTTTCCATTCAAAACATGGACTGTAGGACAATTGTTGTAACTGTGCCAGGTGGCTTTAGAACTGGAGACTCTGCTGGATCTGTACCAGTGAATTTTTTTCTTTTTTTTTTTTTTTAATTCTTGGTAGTAGCCCAGGAAAGTGGTGTCAGTTTAGAAGGGGTGTTGTTTTTTGCAACAGCCATGGAATATATTTATTTCTATTCACGACTTTTGCTTTATGAATATAATTCCCCCAAAAGGCAAAGACATCTTACTCCTTGCTTCCTTATACATACATGTACCTGCATAAAAAAGAGAGAGATGCAAGTTTTCAAATCTAATCTTGCTAAAACTTGTTAAAAATACGTTTCGGATGAGCAGGCGACTGGTTAACAAGTGCACTTGGATGTGTGTTAACTTCGGATCTTTGGTGCATGTTCCTGTGTTACATTTCAATAGCATGTGTTTCTTTTCCTCTCTCTTTTTAACTCTGGGTGTTTAGCTTAACAGAGTCATTTTTATGGATTCCTGCTCTGAAGATTTCTGTTTTCTGTGTTTAAAAGGTAGCATTGACTATGCTTGTATGTGTTCTCTTAAACGCAGTTGGTACGGGAGCCCCTTCCAGATCTGTTACACTAGGAACAACTTTCTCTGGTACTGTGGGGTTCCCACAGTGCTTCATAGCCCTCTTGTTTCTGTTCGGCAGGGCACAGTGCGACTGCTCTGGACAAAAGTTGCTAAACAGTATTGTTCAGATTGAGTAATTTATTACATCAAAGTCTTGCTAAGACTGTTTAATCTCCCAGCTGTAGCACATTAATAGTCCTCACTATAATGTGTTTGTGTCAACTGTCTTTGCTCCCAATGTGATTGATAAAAGGTTGGAAATGTAATAATAAAAGCTCCTGTTGCATTCATCTAGCTGTGTCAGTAAGTGGAACAGAAATGCTTCATTCATCAAGAGGAAATTCAAGATAAATGTAAATTATTATAATCACTCCCAAAAATATGCTTGTACCAAATATACATAAATTTGTTGTTGTTCAGAACTGTTATTTGGCTTTTAATAGTTGAAACACATTTTTCTGTGTGTAAATAATACTTTATGCAGGCTGCTTTTTCCCTCTCTTAGTCTTGGCGTATATTACAGAGGTGGGTATCGGCAAGTCATTCATCCTTTTACAGCAGGCACTGAGTGGGGAGACCAGGTCCCTCTGCTCTTCCAACCAAGTCCACGTAATACCAGCATTCCTGAGAAATACTTACTGTTACGAGGAGGAACCCATGGGCACTAGGCCTTGCAATATGAGTCATTACTAATAATAAAAACAAAAACACAGACCAAGGAAAGGTTAAGGAAGCAGAACAGATATGTTCTTTACATTCTGCTGTTTTGGAAATGAGTTGTGGCAGCATTATGAAAGAGAGAGGGTTGTTGCTTATAATTAATAGAGATCTGTTTGGACTAATAGTGGCTGTTTGGAGACTTCATTCCATTAGAAAAAGTTAAAATATAATTATGCATAAAGTTGATGGGGACAGTAATAAGCACATTTAACCCTTCTGTACTGGATGTTTACCTTTACTCTTTTGGCTGTGTGCTCATATAATTGGATTTCTTTCATATTTTGCATTCGATAAGCATTTAGCCTTGCCTATTTGGCTATATAAGGCTCCAAATCCAGCAAGGAATTGGCTTGATTCCTGGCTTTTCCCTGCAGTCCCCCATGAACAATGCTCTAAATCCTACTTAGCATGTCACCCTGCACTTTACTGGTCTGGTGGCCCCCTGGAGCCATCCAAAACTCTCATCTCTCTCCCTCATCACCACCAGTCCCCCAGGGTACCACCCAAAAGGTGAAAGTGTTCACAGCATGATGACAAGCCAGCTTTACACATCATCTTCCAGCTCAGATTTAATTAAACAGGTTTCTTTCTTCCTCTCTTTTTCTCTTTCTCCTTCTCGCTCTCTTCTCCCCCCAATCCCTCTTGCTTCTCCCCCCCCCCCGCCCTTGCTCTCTCTCTCTCTCTGTTTTATCAACCCTAATGAAGCAGTATTCTTCATCGATCCTGCTGATTGCCAGCCCATTCCTTTTGTTTGTTGGCACCGAGCCATTCAGCCGCACTCTGACAGCTCAGCTCGTCTAATTAGCTCTGTTGTTCTTTTCCCCATGTTTCACCACGTTGCAAGTTCAGTTGAAGTTGCCACAAACTTAATCCTTCCATTCCTGCCATAAATTCGCATTCTTAAGCCGTCTTTATTGTAGAGAGGAGCAGCCTTGTGTGGGGACTGATCTTCAAGACCTTAACATCTGACCTTTTTATAAGCCCTTTTTCCTAAGAAATAGTGGCAATACATCGCTGGATTTCTTCATCATATCTGCTGTACACCGTTTCCTTTGAAATGAAAATTCAATACAATAATCCTCTGCTACCTTCTGCATATTGTTGTGTAGTGCAGAAACACAACACACAATTTGATGGCTTTTTCCTGGCAAGAAAATTTGAGTTTATGTGCCTGGGGGGGAAAAAAAAAGAAAAAAGAAAAGAAAAAAAAAAGAAAAAAGCCCAGAAATGTCCCACCCTCCAACAAGTAATTTTAAAAAAATAACACAACAAAAACTTGCAGAGGTAGGGGGAAATCTGCATCTATTCTATCATTGCAAACAAATTCATTAGTCATCCAAAGAGCGCTTAGGTTGTAGGCCTCTAACAGCTCCCTTTGTGTTGTGCCTATTAAGGGAGCAGGAGCTCAGGGAGGTCAGAAGTTGAGCTGTATGCCTAACTTTATTTGAGGGCTTTGGGGATTTCTGTTGAATATGTTCTTTACATTCTGCTGTTTTGGAAATGAGTTGTGGCAGCATTATGAAAGAGAGAGGGTTGTTGCTTATAATTAATAGAGATCTGTTTGGACTAATAGTGGCTGTTTGGAGACTTCATTCCATTAGAAAAAGTTAAAATATAATAATTATGCATAAAGTTGATGGGGACAGTAATAAGCACATTTAACCCTTCTGTACTGGATGTTTACCTTTACTCTTTTGGCTGTGTGCTCATATAATTGGATTTCTTTCATATTTTGCATTCGATAAGCATTTAGCCTTGCCTATTTGGCTATATAAGGCTCCAAATCCAGCAAGGAATTGGCTTGATTCCTGGCTTTTCCCTGCAGTCCCCCATGAACAATGCTCTAAATCCTACTTAGCATGTCACCCTGCACTTTACTGGTCTGGTGGCCCCCTGGAGCCATCCAAAACTCTCATCTCTCTCCCTCATCACCACCAGTCCCCCAGGGTACCACCCAAAAGGTGAAAGTGTTCACAGCATGATGACAAGCCAGCTTTACACATCATCTTCCAGCTCAGATTTAATTAAACAGGTTTCTTTCTTCCTCTCTTTTTCTCTTTCTCCTTCTCGCTCTCTTCCCCCCCCAATCCCTCTTGCTTCTCCCCCCCCCCCGCCCTTGCTCTCTCTCTCTCTCTGTTTTATCAACCCTAATGAAGCAGTATTCTTCATCGATCCTGCTGATTGCCAGCCCATTCCTTTTGTTTGTTGGCACCGAGCCATTCAGCCGCACTCTGACAGCTCAGCTCGTCTAATTAGCTCTGTTGTTCTTTTCCCCATGTTTCACCACGTTGCAAGTTCAGTTGAAGTTGCCACAAACTTAATCCTTCCATTCCTGCCATAAATTCGCATTCTTAAGCCGTCTTTATTGTAGAGAGGAGCAGCCTTGTGTGGGGACTGATCTTCAAGACCTTAACATCTGACCTTTTTATAAGCCCTTTTTCCTAAGAAATAGTGGCAATACATCGCTGGATTTCTTCATCATATCTGCTGTACACCGTTTCCTTTGAAATGAAAATTCAATACAATAATCCTCTGCTACCTTCTGCATATTGTTGTGTAGTGCAGAAACACAACACACAATTTGATGGCTTTTTCCTGGCAAGAAAATTTGAGTTTATGTGCCTGGGGGGGAAAAAAAAAGAAAAAAGAAAAGAAAAAAAAAAGAAAAAAGCCCAGAAATGTCCCACCCTCCAACAAGTAATTTTAAAAAAATAACACAACAAAAACTTGCAGAGGTAGGGGGAAATCTGCATCTATTCTATCATTGCAAACAAATTCATTAGTCATCCAAAGAGCGCTTAGGTTGTAGGCCTCTAACAGCTCCCTTTGTGTTGTGCCTATTAAGGGAGCAGGAGCTCAGGGAGGTCAGAAGTTGAGCTGTATGCCTAACTTTATTTGAGGGCTTTGGGGATTTCTGTTGAAAGTAGCATTCAGCTAAGCCAACAAATCAGACTCCATTTCAGGTAAGGTGGTACGTTCTTAATAAAAAATGGAAAGCTTGTTTGTACAGCCTGACCCTGATGCTGCAAATGTTCATTCCCACGTTTGACTCAAGGGGATAAGTTCATCAGCAGGATTACTCCCTAGTATAGGTAGGCACATGCATAAACTTTGCCTGTATAGTGATCACGTGTGCTTATTCCTTTCCGTGAAGTAAGGCTGTTTGCTTGTGGAGTTAATGCAAGTAGATTAAGCTTGATTTCTGAACATTAGAAGGTGATGGATGCATTATTTAAGATTGGATTGGCAGCAACATCATCTTCCACAGAAAAGCTTTGGATTACATTACAGACAACAAAAGATACACTAACATAACATTAGGGGTAATAATGATAATGTGTCTGGCAAGGGTTTCTGTTCAGCTGCTGAAAGGAAGCAAATTTTTAATGAAGAACGAGCTATGTTTTTCATTTTATAACATTTATTGTAAGTACAAAATTTTCAGTGTCCTGTGCGCAGAAGTCTTCACTTGAGCAGTTGGGTTCCTATGAACAAGTGGACAAAAGGATCACGGTGTCAGAGCTGAACCACACTTCCCAATATAATGTCCAGCAACACACAGCATTTTCCCGTATTGCTCTATCAGCTAACTGTGCTTGGGGAAGCTCACATTAAGGGAACCTTTTATCAGAAATGGAGCCTGTACCAAACAGGACCATGGAACAAATTTTCATTGCTTTGCTAATAGTCAGTGACAAGCATATAAGTTTCATTTGCTATTCAAAAACATGTGGGGTTTTTTTGTCCTTAAACAAGCTGTGTGTCCCTGTAGCTTATATTCATACTTTATGTTCATTTGTAGATCTATATTCATTTGTAACATTTTTGAGGCACAAAAAATAAAGGAGCTTAAAAGCATTTCTGAATGGAAGATACCTTTAAGATAACAGTGGCTATGCATATTTTGTTATTTATGTGTGTTGTCTGATCAACTTGAAATATTTGATGAAATGTCTTCTATGTGTGTGTATGTAATAGGTTCGCCCTCCAAGGCCTCATGTTGTTAAGAGACCCAAGAGCAATATTGCCGTGGAAGGACGAAGGACTTCAGTTTCTAGTCCAGAACAGTAAGTACTTTGCTGCTCTGCTTCTCTCTAGTTGCATCAACAAACAGTGCATTTGGAACTGGAACTAGCCAAAGGAGAAATTGAAAAATACTACAGATCAAAATAATTTTTTAACTAACAAAAAATGTGGTTTTAATTTTTGGAACATTTTAGAGGAAGTGTGAAAAGCAAGAAACCAAAGTTTACTTATTGGAAAATTCTGGTTTGCCAAGTTAGACATAGTGTGACCAGCCTGAGTTTTCAGGTTTTGGTGGCTTGTTCATTTCTTTGTTGGTTTGTTTTGATCTATGCTTTAAATGAAATTGTTAGCCACATCCCTGCGAATCCACGGTTCTTGCCAGGCTTTACCTAGAAGATACAGAATTGTTTGCTTTACAGTGATGGCAGTAAGGGCCGCGTCTCATGCTTGTTAGCGTCCCGTTAACAGGTCTGTAATGAGCTCTATAGTGAAGGCTTGTAAGGCTTAACTATCCTGCATAGTGCTAGCAAATTTATCATCTCTTTAGATTTGACTATGAAGTAAACAGAGGTAACGTTCCGAGTAAGTTGTACTGCTGTAGCTTACTGCTAGTGCATAAAATGTGTTGGGTTTCCAGCATCTCTCTTGTTCACACGAACAGTATGTTCTGTTACCTTGGAGAGATTTTTTTCAGATAGTTTCATGAATGTCACATATTAAAGTATTTTTTTCAAAGACAACAATACTGTGTATTGTTGCAGATATTCTTAACGCATTGCCATAGTTGAGTTAAACAATAGGCCATCAAGTGAAAACCTGGGAAGAGAATGGATATATTGAACCCTACCAATGTAGCCCAAAAGACACTATTGTGTGTGACAAATACACGTGTAGGCTGCATCAATATGCGTTTTGGATTTAAAATTATTTTGATTATTCAGAGTGTAGCTAGTTCACCTGTTCAGAAGTTCAAAAGATTCAAGAGCACTAAGTCCTGACAGGATACAGAGGCTGGTATTAGGAGCGCTTCTTTCAGGCTGGGAATAAGCAGGTTGCCTCCTCTCAGTTCAGAATTTGGGAATCTTAAGAACTGTGCGTTTTGTGGTTGATTGTACAGGAAGGTGTTGTGAAAAATGTGGCTATAGTAGGGACAGACCTGCTTGGCGCTCCAGAGGAAACAACTGAGCAAGGAGGTCAGAGCAGCTGGCAACAGAGCCAGTACACGTTTTCCAAGTCATGCAGCAAGATTAAACTGGTATTCCCCGCACGTCAAGCATCTTTGATGCTGCACTTGAACTGTGAGTGGAGTGACATCTTCCAAATGTCCCATGTTGTCGCGGTCCAGCCTTAGCATGGGAAGTCACACTGGAACTGTGCACAGACCACAAGCAAAAGACTCAGGGACCGCAAAATGGTTGCTCTGTCACAGAGATTTCCTTGTAATTCATCTCTACCTGCAGCACAAAGCAATTGCTTATATCATAGACACATTATTTGTTTATGTCCCAGCCTGTCGTGGCTTTATTGTCAGTAAAGTGAAATGCTTTAGCTGGTGCCCAAGATTACAGGATATTTGTTGTATCTGAAGATACTAAAATCCCTTAAAAGAAAAATGGCTAGTTTCTGTAAACAGACCTTTCCCCGCAGTTCCCTGTCACCACTGTTTGAGGGAAAAAGAGGTGGAGGTTGGGTCCGTCCCCCCTGCCCCCCAACATTAAGTGCATTGCTAGCTTTTTCCCAGCCACTCTAGGATGGGGAGATATTCTGGCTTCTAGCTAAAACGAATGGTCACTTTTAAATTGTACCGGATTATTTGTCCATTTTATAGTGGAATTTGGTTGCCCTCTTGTGGAGTAGATTGCAAGTCCTGCAGACTTGTGCTTGTGCTGTTACAGGGTGGTAGCTGCCCCTGCACAAAGATTATAGGACTTTTTAAAATAAATTTTCATTCTTTCCTGTTGTCAGCTTCAGGTGGTAAAACAAACTTTGACATAACTACTTCCAGACAGTTAATTGTAGAATAGTGCACTCCACCAGATCTCCTGTAAGGTGTCTTGTTAGAGTGGTTTAATAAAAACAAGTTGGGGCAGGGGGGGAGATGAGACACACGACACGCAAGGATGATGACACTGACACCACAACTGTGATTTTGGAAGTACAAGTGGAGGAACTATCTAACCTTGTACTTAACTAAAGCTCAAATACGTGGCTTACCTAAGAAATAACTTGAGGTGAAGGCCTTTGAAATAGGTAATGACTCTGTAATCCTGACCTTTTTCCTTACTCTTTACCTAAAAATGACATTTTGAATAAAGGAAAAATATTTTTAAATGGTAATTAAAGCTAGGACTTTCATGACACTTTTCACAAAATTTCTTTTTTCTGTCCCAGGAAGAAATAATCTTCCTATATTGTTCTGAAATGAAAACATAAAGCCAGGTGTTGTCTCGTAAAAAAAACTCCATTGTTTTCTCCCTCTTGCGTAGTACTAGCATGAATGAAAACAGCGCAGTATGTCATTTCACTCGGGTTACTTGATAGCGTTGGAGTACCCTTCTTGCAGAGCAGAGGAGACTCCATGAAAGCAGCAGCAGTGCTGAGAGGGTGCTTTTCTTAAACTGAACTTAACCAAAATATTTAGCTTAATTGCACTGGTTCCAAAACTAATTATTAGCCAGCTGCTTCTTCAGGTGCTCACGTGTGGGATATGTCTGTGAGGAGCAGCTTCTGTTCAATGAGAAGTTTCTATATTTAAAACTAACACTAACGTTTTGGTCTTGGATGGTGACATGAGCTGTCCAGAGGCCTTTCCCAGGATAGCTGACGCATTAGCTCGGGCTCTGACTTCCGTGTCCCCCTCCCAGCTGGAGGCAGGCTCTGCAGGGCGGCGTGCCCCCCCACACACACCTGAACACGTTCCACAGGGCAGCCGCTTCGCCGTTTGCAGTGTTGCTTGCCATCTCTGAGCAGCAAGCCGTTGTGTAGGCATCCTTTCAGGTGCTACATTTGGTAATGCATTTCTTACAATATTAGGAAATTGGTATCGTCAGTTACATGATTTAATTTTTTTTTAATGTGTATAAAGGAAAAAACATTGGTTTGGGGGTATATGTGCTCATTTTCTAATCAGTCTTCAATTAGAACACAGGAGGGCAGGAGCAGTGACTTCAGAGAACACCCAGGATTATTGCTAATGCCTGTTGTTAAACCATCATATTTAGAAGAGCTGGGGGAAGAACTATTGTTCCCCCATCAAATTTTTCATTGACTTTTTTTTCTATTTCAATAGAAAGGTTGTTTTTTTTTTTTTTTACAATTTTATCAATAATTCAAGGTCTGTGATGTTTATTATTCTTAAAAATTTGTCATTACATCTGAAGTGTATGATTTTTTAAAAAACTTTTTTCGTTACAAGGTAACAGGAAGAATTTGTAGATGATTGCTCAGGAAATGCCGGATTGCCACCCGGGGCAATCCTGGACACGTGGGACATGCCTCCTTAAACACAAATTAGTTGTTCACAGAAATAAGATGTTGCATTTTTAACAGATAGGCAGGTTTTTGAGAGCTCTCTTTTACACCACAGCAAGATTTCCTATTAAATGTAGAATAGGCTTCCAGAGTGCACTAGGATCTGTCTTCTGTAAGTACCGACTAGCTGGCTTCCAGGGCATGCAGAGTGGGAGGAAATTAAAATAGGAAATCAGAGGGTCAGGCTCACAATTAACAGCATGTCAAAAGGCTCTTGGGCTGGCTAAACCCATGTCAGTGCTGCAGCAGTTCATTATGGCTTTCCAGAAGTCATGTAGGACTTAGTAGAGAAGCTAATGGCTTTCCCTTATATCGTATGAATGAAAATAGGCTGCCGTGCAATAGTGGGTTATTACACTGAATTTAGTATGAAGTCAGCGTGGTGGCTGTGTTAAATGATACAGGCTCATAAAGCACATTAAATTCCAGTTGTTGGAGCCAGGCTCTCGGAGCTCTGCCACACCGAATTTGTGTATGGTAAAGGTTTTCCATGGCACCACTGTGAGCAAGCATCTCTGCTTAGGAAGAAAGCGAAGCCAGTGAGTACCGATTTGAACAAGGGTGGCTGGAATCTGCAAGAAAATACTGCAGGCTATAGCAGACAGGACTCGCTGCGTGCGCTTTGGTCCCTCTGCCTTGGGAAAATTGGTGTAGAGGAGGCTGGATACGATGCAGGTGGTGCCAAGAAAGCAGATGCCCAGCAAAGGGAGAGCAAGTGGGAAAGAAACGCACTGAGAGCAGTTGGGTTTGTTGCAGGTCTCGCCAGACAAGAACTGTAGCACAAGGCAGGCAGGGCTGCCCTGCGGGAGCTCCCTGGCTCTCCCACCTTTCCACCACGATGGTTTGCAAGAAACTTCAGGTTTGGGGCCTGTTTCTGCCGTCTGCTTTGGAGTGAACCTACCGAATATATGCAGCTTGCTGTTGTAAAGAGATACGGTGTCTGCAGGGGAAATGGGTCAATAGATCCTTGGAACTGAGTAACAGGACAAAAATGTGGAGCGACTTTGTAGAATCTTGCGTCTAGATCTGTCAGAGCAGGCAGAGGTGTCATCCAGCTAGTTCTCACTTTAAATTCTTCATTTGTAATTCCAGCTCTCTAGAAAATTTGTAAAAAGTTCATAAAAGCTATAAAACAGTTAGCTACCTGCCGTTACTGGGTGTAGTGACCCCAAGCTGCTGTTTTTGTTACTTGGTTGGATGAGCCGTGATCTGATTTTGTTGTTGCTTTAATTTAAAATACCCTTTATGCTACTGGGTTTGTTTTTCTGGAAATATTCTGCTCCTATGGATATTCACAGTATACGAAGTAACACTCTAAAAAGCAGGTAGATATTTTAATATTGTTGTTAGCTCACACTCGGGTGTGCTGAGGATTCAGAACATGCAGGAAGGAATTCCAGCAATAGGTCTGTGCTTTGTTCGGACTGAATAGTTCCTGGGTAATCCCCTCGGTCCCGAGCCTCCTATTTCAGACTGGCAAGAAAAAGCCCACACATCCAAATCCCTCATT